AGAGTTTGTTATAATTTTTGCTTTGAACAGTCACGTATTTTAAAGAAATTATGAGGAAAAGGAGTCTTTTATATTTACCCACATATTTACCTTTCTGAGCCTCTTCCTTCCTTCCTGAAGATTCAGGTTTCCATCTGGTATTATTTCCCTTCTGTCTAAAGAACTTCATTTAGCATTTCTTGTAGCACAGGTCTGCTAGTGACAGATTCTAAGTTTTAAGTAAAAACGTCTTTAATTTGCCCTCATTATTGCATGATATTTTCATTTCATCTGTAAGATTATTTCCAGATAAAGAGTTGATGTTTTCTTTTTTTCCAGAACTTTAAATATGTCATTTCACTTGATTCTGATGAGAAGTCAATGGCATTTCAAATCTTTGTTCCCCTCATACAATGTCATTTTCCTTTGGTTACTCTAAAGATGTTCTTTTTATTTTTCCTTTTCAACGGTTTGGCTCTGTTTTGATTTTGTTTTTGTTTCTGAGATGAAGTTCTGCTGTGTTGTCCAGGCTGGTCTCAAACTCCGGGGCTCAAGTGATCCTCCCCCACCTCAGCCTCCTGAGTAGCCAGGACTACAGGTGCACGCCACTGTACCCAGCCTCATTTTGGAAATTTAAATACAAAAAGTGAGCACTGACTTTTTAAAAACATACACATAGGGCAGGTGTGGTGGCTCACACCTGTAATCCCAGCACTTTGGGAGGCAGAGGTGGGTGAATCACCTGAGGCCAGGAGTTCGAGACCAGTGTGGCCAACATGGCAAAACCCCATCTCTACTAAAAATACGCAAAATTAGCTGGGCGTGATGGTGGATGCCTGTAATCCCAGTTACTTGGGAGTCTGAGGCAGGATAACTGCTTGAACCTGGGAGGTGGAGGTTGCAGTAAGCCGAGATCGCGCCACTGTACTCCAGCCTGGGTGAGGGAGCAAGACTCCATCTCAGAAACAAACAAATAAAACATACACACAAGTCTAACAGCCAAAACGCACAGAGGAAATGAGCTCCTACTCTGTCCTCCAAGGTTCCCATTCTGTGGTTGAAGTTGCTGCTGGCCTTCCTCCTTTACAACATACATAGGAATCCACAGCTTCCACTTTACACTATAGCTGTAATGCATTTCGTCTGCTTCATGCTGTGTGCACATCCCTCCTCATTCTGATTGATGGTCAAGGACTCATCCCTCCCCTAGCATCAGTTCCTGCCCTTCAATGGGACAGTGAGGAGATCAACCAGTTAGGAACAATCTAGTAAAAGGGGCAGGGTGGCTGGAGATGGAGTAACGCTCTGCACTGATGTACTGTGGTATCTGAATGAGGAGGGAAAAAATAAGGCAGAAAAGTATGGAGGGCACAGTTGCAAGTTGGGAGTCTCTCTGTGGAACCCTGTGGGGAGAATTCTCCTACCTGTTTTAGATAGATCAATGTGCTAAACTAAGGAAAAAAATCCAATAATCAGCAGTCTAGAGACTTGAATTTCAACCTTCTCCCACCAAGATGGCTCATATATGGCCGTAACAATCTAGATCTCTCCAGGAGTGAAGGGAGAGCCTGTGGTAGGCCCCGTGGTAGACCCTAGAAAGTATCCACTGCTGCTTCTAGTTGCTGCTGCTGTTCCACTTGTGACTTAGTCTCAAAGACAACAGAAGAGCCAGGAGTATAAAGAAAGTGGTTGCAATCCACAAGGCTGTTCTGGAAAATCTGTTCATCTTTTGAGCCATGAAGAGGGAGAGATCAGAAATGGATCCAGGTACAGACAAGACCTTTTTGGAAGCATCTCCGTTAGACGCCATTGTCATGATGGGTCTCATTTAGCTCCTTGTGGCTCCTATTCCACCCCTCCTCAGTATCCTCTATGTTGCCCTTTGGGCGCAATTTGTCTGGGGACAGGGGTACCCCCGTGTCATGGCAGCAGCAAATAATGAGCATCCATTTTCTCTTTCCTTTCTGGAACCCTATACATGTTAGATCTTTTTGTATTGTTCTGTCTCTTAGGCACCGTTCCTTATTTTATTTTCCTCTCTGATCTTCAGATTGAATAATTTCTATTGCTTTACCTTCAAATTCACAGATACTTTCTTCTGTTATTTCTATTCTGATTTTTTTTTTTTTTTGAGATGGAGTTTCGCTCTTGTTGCCCAGGCTGGAGTACAGTGGCACGATCTTGGCTCACTGTAACCTCCACCTCCTGGGCTCAAGCGATTCTCCTGCATCCACCTCCTGAGTGGCTGGGATTACAGGCACGTGCCACCACGCCCAGCTAACTTTGTATTTTTAGTAGAGACAAGGTTTCTCCATGTTGGTAAGGCTGGTCTCGAACTCCCAACCCCAGGTGATCCACCTGCCTCTGCCTCCCAAAGTGCTGGGATTACAGGTGTGAGCCACCGCTCCCAGCCTCTATTCTGATCTTAAGGCTATTCAGCAAAAATTTCATTTTAAATATCATATTTTCAGTGTTAGCATTAACCTTTGGTTCTTTTTTATGGTTTCTTTTTCTCTTCTGTGATTTCCTATGTTTTCATTCATTATGAGTATATTTTCCTCTACATCCTTGGGCATAGTTTTGGCAGTCACTCTAAAATATTTGTCTCCAATTCTAACATCTGGTTCATCCTGGAGTAACTGATTGACTTTGAGTCACATTTTCTTATTTTTTCGTATGTCTAGTAATTTTAGATTCTATCCTGGACGCTTGGATGAACTCAAACTTCTCCGTTCAGTTATTTAAGCCTTATATGGGCTGCTTGGAGTCTGCTCTGCACGTGTGTAGTTTAGGTTCAGCAAGAGATTTGGGCAGTTTCTATATAGTCTTTAAGGCTCCTCCTTTCTGAATCTCTCTTTCCTGTGATTTCTCCTCTACTTCCCATTGCTGTGTGTTTGCATCCCTCCTCCTCACCTCTTTGGTGAGGGAGGGATTTCTACTGTAAGGTTATGGGAATAGGCTAAACACGACACTAGACACTACACAGCTGAGACAGCAGTGTACTAGTCACGTATACTCACAGCCTAGCAGAGGAGAACACCTACCCCACACAGGGCCAGGTGGGGCCTGCACTTGGAAATAGAGAACAACCATGGGTGCAGGCTTTGTACTATCAAGAGGATGAGGTCGCTCCTGGTTCCTGAGGGAGGATGTGACTGGTGTGGATGAATAATTCCATAAGCTGTCAGGGAACTAAAACCTGTGACTCAGGAATAAGCAGGAAATGTGCCTGATCCTTGAGCTAAGGAGCTGAGTGTGGGCAGGAACTTGTAGTTAGGCCATTCAAGGGCCTCCTGATTTTACCAGATATCAAGGCAATACATGGTATTAACTTTAGACCATATACCACCCTGTGGTTGTCCTGGACTCCAACCTCTGGCTCTTCAAGCCAGTAAGTCTGCAAGTTTGAAAGTCATAGTCATTCTACACGGTACTGACGAGGGCCTGCCCCCAGGCTAAATGACATTCTTCCACGATGAAACTCATGAACTGCTGTTTCCTTCTTCCAAGTGTGGACTCCCGTCCAGAATCTGCCTTCTTTTTCCTGCTCTCCAGTGCCTTCTGGTAGATTTTTAAATTCTGTGCAGAATGTATAGCCGTTATTTGCAAGAACACTGATCTGATAGGAGCTATCTGGCCATTACAGGAAGCAGAACCTTCAAAGTTCCTTCTTAATCTGGGCTGCTTAGAGTCTGCCCTGCACATGTGTAGTTCAGGTAAACTGCTTTGGACACAAGCAGCTTAACCACACAACTGAAGGAATTATCAGGTGTGACTAATTAGAACAGGAATTGGCATGGAGTCTTTGGGATGATAACACATGAGAACATTATCCCATAGCTGAAATCCATAACTGGAGGGCTCATAAAAAATTGTTGCATAAAACACTTAAATTTTGATTTAGTACAAATTTAGATTCCATACAAATAATTCATCAAACTTGAGTTGAGCTTGGAATACATCAGATAAAATCCAAGAAAAATGTTTTTTATTTTACAGTTTTTACATACAGCTAAAGTACATATGGGGAAAAATTATGGCTATCATTTGATAATGCAGTCCTATATCTCTTCTTAAATACCTACCATATTTCATTAGCCTTGCTTGACTTTTACCAATTTTAATCTCTCTTTAATTCTGCCATCATTGCCAATTTGCTTTTATTTATACTTAGGCTCATAAGCATTTCCCTAACATGTGTCATGTCCCTATAAAGACTACAAATGTCTTGTGGACAAAGACCAAAGCCTTGATTTCATTTAAACCTTGACACTGCAGATACATATGTTGATTATTCTTTTTCAGTGAATCCTATCAAGACTCAGATGGACAAATTGGGCTTTAAATCTCTTCAGTACTAGGTATATGGTTGTTTCCTTTGGTGATCCCAGAGGCCTCACAAGACTCAAGAGCAGGCTATATATTAACACATAGCTAAGATTTATGACAGCAAAGGATACAGAGCAAAAGCAACAGGAAAAGATGTATCAGTGGAGTCCAGAGAGGTCCAACATAGGATTCTGTTGTCCTTTGTCTGCAGCTACACAGGAATTCTCTCTCTCTCAGCAAACTATAGACACCTGTGGAATGTCTCTGCCCACAGAAGCCCACTTGAGTCTCAGGGTCTAAGGCTTTTGTGGGAGGCTGTTCATGTATGCATACTCTGCTATGGAATTGGCTATGGCAACCAAAATTCAGGGGCCCAATAATAAAACCAGGTGCCTATTTATCAATCTTGGTGTTTGTGCAACACAACTTGGTGAGCCAGTATGGAATGATCCAATGCTCCAGGTGTATACAACAAAATCATCATCACTAACATAAGGAACACTCCCAGGATTGTAATCCAGGGGTTGGCCAAGGTCGAAGATGGTTCCCCTGGAGACATGCAAGGGGTAAGCAACCAGAACTGCTACAGTAACTTTTTTCCTCACAAGGCCCTGCGCATCCCTGCTTATCACCTAGTACTAATTCCCGGCTTACTGACAGGAATAATACAAAGCTAATTAAGTCCGGGCATGTGAGAAGATATTTAAACCTATTTTATTGCTAAATCATTCCCTCTAGTCTCTCTACCCTACCCAACATATTCTGGCCTCCAATTTCTATCCTGGTAGGTAATACTACCTTTGCATTTTGTTATTCCAGAAGGTGCACAAAGTTCTTTGTTTTGTTTGTTTGTTTGTTTGTTTGTTTTCTTTTCTTTTTTTATATTTTTGAGATGGAGTCTCACTCTGTCGCCAGGCTGGAGTGCAATGGCACCATCTCGGCTCACTGCAACCTCCGCCTCCCAAGTTCAAGCGATTCCCCTGCCTCAGACTTTATGAACAGGCAACATGTAGGGAGCAGTAGCTTATGCTGCTTAGAAGAGGAGGCCTAAGAAGGATAGAGCTCAAAGTTGTAAAATCTACAGGGTTCGTATCCTTGTATGATTTATATTTGTATCATTTCCCCCACAAACCTGTGTTACCTCCTGGATTTTCTGTTTCATACAGCCTTAACAAGATCTACCTGTGGTCCAAGCCAAAACCCTAGATGATACCTCCTCTCCCATCCTCTAAATACAGTCACTAAACCCAATTGATATTACCTCCTAAAAATGCCCTGATCTATTTCTTTCTTTCCATATGACCTCATTTTCCTGTTAACTGCTCCTTTCTTGCTTCTCTTTCCCTCTCCCCAAGCCATTATTCATTTCAGCAGGGTTCTCACTCCCATTCCTTCCTAGAAAGCCAATGCACCACATACTGAAGAATAATTTTCTGAAAAAGATGTCTTATGAAATGAGGTATTATTACCACTTATCTCTATTTTCGATTGTTTCCTGTATGTTATAGATCTACTAATATCTATTTTACTGGAAAACAAATTAATTACATCTCAAATTGAAAAAATATGTCCTTAGGATAGAATCAATTGCTTGGAGTTCTCTGAGCTGTGCAACAGAAATAATAAGAGCTGCTTCCTGTGCCTCATCCTCTCTTTGCTTTACGACATCTGGAGTCTTCTCTCAGTCTTTCTCCTTTCTCAATTGCTATGTTCAGATTCCTCTTCATTAAATATTTCTGCCAAATTTCATTCCTACAGAAAAGACCACAGTCAAAAAATGATTCCTTGGCTAGTTAATATTTCATCGGTCCCTTCTGTGGGTGTAGGCAGATGTTATAGGTGGTGTTAACATATAACATCAATCTAAATTTGAATTTTAAAATATCTGATTCATAAAAGTGATAAGAATTGTTCCATATGAACCTGAAATACTCAAGTGAGATCCTGCAAAAGTTGTTAAAGCTCTTAGCAGCAAGTTGAGGGCTATGCTGAATGAGAAAAGGGTTACCTCGAACTTCTCTTCAACTGCTAAAAATTTTCCACAAAAAATGTGTTTCTCAGCCAAACTGCCTAGATTAATTCCTAAAGTGAGAAGTCTTCAGAAGCTTCAAATTTACCAATTGTGGTACTTCTTCGCTTTAATTTGTGCAATAATTTATGTGCTGTTAGAATGCTGGTATACTAAGACCAGACATGACTAATAAGAAAAGTAAAAAAAAATTATAAAAGTGAACTAAATCCAAATATTTGGTGTATCTACTTATCTACTCTTTTCCTGGTACATAACATTACATTTGCATTTTGTTATTGCAGAAAGTGCATAAAGTTCTTTCTTTCTTTCTTTCTTTTTTTTTTTTTTGAGACAGAGTCTTGCTCTGTTGCCAGGCCAGAGTGCAATGGCGTGATCTCAGCTCATGGCAATCTCTGCCTCCCGGGTTCTAACGATTCCCCCGCCTCAGCCTTCCAAATAGCTGGGACTACAGGCACGCGCATATCACGCAATATTTTGTATTTTTTTTTTAGTAAAGATGGGGTTTCACCATGTTGTCCAGGATGTTCTCGATCTCCTGACCTCGTTATCCACCTGCCTTGGCCTCCCAAAGTGCTGGGATTACAGGCATGAGTCACTGCACCCACCCAGTTCTTCGTCTCTTTTATATTTTAGATGAAGCATAAATTTTTGTTAAAATAATACATATACCAAAAAATGAAAAACAAATGTGCAAAAGGATAAACGAAGCCTCTAGATATTGCTGGACTATTTTTCCAGAGATATTTAATCTGAATACAAAGTTAACATTGTTTAGGATATCCTAAATGTAATATCATATAAGGAAGTCACTTGGCTTTTTGAAATTATTTTTTAATCAACATGCCAATTATCAGTCAAAGACTAAGTTAGATATGCTATTCCTCTAACCCTGTATTAAAACTATATATATATACACACACACATACACACATATATACACACACACATATACATATATATATATATATACACATATATTTTTTTTTTTCTTTGAGACAGAGTCTCACTCTGTCGCCCAGGCTGGAGTGCAGTGGCGCGATCTCAGCTCACTGCAAGCTCTACCTCATGGGCTCAAGCAATTCTCCTTCTTTAGTCTCCTGAGTAGCTGGGATGATAGGTGCCTGCTACTGCACCCAGCTAATTTTTGTATTTTAGTAGAGGTGACGTTTCATCATATTGGCCAGACTGGTCTCAAACTCCTGACCTCAAGTGATCCGCCTGCCTTGGCCTACCAAAGTGCTGGGATTACAAGCATGAGCCACCGCATCTGGCCAGCAACTATATTTTTTGTTATTGAAAAATAGTATCACAAATAGTCTCCATAAATAAAATTTAAATATTTCAGCCCCTAAATTTTAATTTTAATGTTCTACCATCATCAGTAAGGGCTCAAATAATCATTTCTTTTTCTGATTCTTCTATTTCCCCTTAATATAGAGCTCTTTAGCTTCTAATACTTCCCATAAAATTTTCCCCCCATCTTTTATATCTTTGTTTTTAATCTAATTCTAGTACTTACTTTAGCCAGATATCAGAAGAAAATATGTGTTCTGTCACTTCAGGCACTTTCTCAAAGTCTTTTCCCTGAAGATATCATTTCTGTGATGAAAAGATGTTGTACTAAAATATCTGCAATGTACACTACAGTTAGAACAAGAAAATGAAAGTACATCTAGACTGCAGTTAATGAACACAACCTATGTTTTCTCAAGGTAACAATAGAGAAAAAGAAATAAAATAAGATAAATTATTTGTACTAAATGAATATTTTCATTTTCAAAATTTCGGTCTCATTTTGTAGAACTGGCACATCTAAAATTACCTGATTTAGCAAAATAAGATTTAAATACAACTTTCCAGAAACATAAATATTGTGTAAAGTGAGATATACTGGTTTCATGCATAAAACAGTCAGAGAATGTCAATTTATGGAAATAAATAATTTTTAAAAATCTGTTACCCTTACCGGGCGTGGTGGCTCACACCTGTAATCCCAGCACTTTGGGAGGCTGAGGTGGGCAGATCACGAGGTCAAGAGACTGAGACCATCTTGCCCAACAAGGGGAAAGCCCGTCTCTACTAAAAAATGCAAAAATTAGCTGGGCGTGGTGGTGTGCGCCTGTAGTCCCAGCTACTCGGGAGGCTGAGGCAGGAGTATCACTTGAACCCAGGAGGCAGAGGTTGCAGTGAGCCGAGATCACATCATTGCACTCCAGCATGGCGACAGAGCAAGACTCATCTCAAAAAAAAAAAAAATCTGTTACCCCATGAAAGATAATCAATACTTACCAAATGTTGGATTAAATTAACCATGCTAAGAGCAATTAATGTAACAATAGCTCCAGTAAGACCTCATTAAATAATCAAGCACTTCAAATAAATGATAGATTTAGCAAAAAGCACCTAGCCGATAGCATTAGTTTCATTTTTAAAAGACCATTCTTTAGCTACTGCTGAAGGCATAAGGCATTGATCCTTTAAAATAAGTCTAAAGGATACACAGTTTCTAGTACTTTTGACTGGGTGGTTACCTGAAACATTATTCTTCAGCAAATTCTAATTTTCTTTCAGAGGAGATGTTAAATTTGCTGTAAGACTTCACAGAAAAATATTTTATGATATCCGAGTTCTTAATTTTTTCCCATGGGCCCAATTCTCCCTTCAATAATTGTCAGCCAGAAAAAAGATAATTATTTGTTTAACTCTTAAACTTTTAGGTATATACTTATTTTACGGATTGTTATATGACACTGGGCAAGCTAACTTCTCTGGGTCCAAATATTATCACCTGTAGAAAAGCTGGTGATCTCCATCCTCTTCCCCATCCCTGCATAGATGATGGTTAGGATACACTACCATCAGCAGCACTGGCTCCTCTAGCTACCCAGTTGGGCTGCCTGTTGCCTGCTCTTCCTTCCTTTGGAGAAATCGTTGATCTAAGATAACTTCAGCATTAAAAAATTACGAGTCTAGAGTGATCATGATATTGAAAACATCTGAAATCATGCAACCTTGAGATGCATTTTCTTTTTGAGACAGGGTCTCACTCTGTTGCCCAGGCTGGAGTGCAGTGGTACGATCCTAGCTCATTGCAGCCTCAAACTCATGGGCTCAAGGGATCCTCCTGCATCAGCCTCCCAAGTGGCTGAGACTATAGGTGCACACCACTGCACTCGGCTAATTTTTTAATTTTTTGCAGAGACAGGATCTCTCTGTGCTACTCAAGCTGTTCTCACGTTCCTGTTCTCAAGTGATCCTCCTACCTTGGCCTCCCAAAGTCTGGGGTTATAGGTGAGCCACAAGGCCAGGCCTTTTTATTTTTATTTTTATTTTTTTTTAATAAAAACATCTTTTTTGTAAGGTTCTTAGTAAAAATTATAATACATATAAAGGAAAGGTGAAGGCTATGCTACCACAACTTTCAATACATTCCCTTCCTGCCACTCACTTCCATTTGATGAAATTAATAGGAAAATTGCTGTACAACAAAGAGTAGCATCTGAAAGGCACTGTGCCAGCCTTTACCTCACACATTCACAGACCGGAAGAGTTCAAGCCTTTAGTTTACACATGGTTTGGCTACTGTCAGATGCTAGGCAATTGTTGAGTTTACTGATTACCTGCAAAAACATTTTCGGGTAACACAGCTCATTAAGAAAAAGGGATATCTACAAAGACATAATGTGTCATTTTTATGGATCTAGCTATTGTTATTTGTGTAAGTTGAGTAATTTATATGTACTGTATCAACTATTAAATTTTGGACAAATTTTTAGGTTTCATCAGCAAAATCAGACCAAAATTTCAATTTTGAACAAAGCATAAATCTCTCTTCTCTCAATTAAAAACCCTTTCCCCTGCTTTTAGAAAACATAATTGCATAATTCAAACTCCTTCAATACTGTGACCTAGTTCCCCCTCTTGATGTTATAAAGGGCTCATGTAACTATGGTAACTAGCTAGGGAAAATTGAATGTTTTTCTGGTCAGCAATATGCAAAGTATACCATATGTGCTATTTTTTCTCCTTGGGATAGCTAAGGGGATAGTATGTTCGCCTTTTTTCTTGGTTATGAAAATATGAGATCTTATTATACTGAATTTCCTCTTCACTACAGTCCCAGTCATTCACACGGTCCCTTCGTTAAAATGTTTTAGGATCATGTTTTGCTTTTAGCAGTCATCCTAAATGCTGACTAGTACTATAATGGAAAGCAGTAGGACTGACTGTATACACCAGTTAAATCTGTGTGGTCTATCACATTAACTCCACGTACAGGGTGATATGGTTCAGATTTCTAATATTCCTTCTAGAGAATCTGATATTTTCTTAACTTTGTCCTTTTTTTTTTTTTAATGAGGCGGAGTTTCGCTTTTGCTGCCCAGGCTAGAGCGCAATGGTGTGATCTCGGCTCACTGCAACCTCCGCCTCCTGGGTTCAAGCGAGTAGCTGGGATTACAGGCACATGCCACCACGTCCGGCTAATTTTTGTGTTTTTAGTAGAGACGGGGTTTCATCATATTGGTCAGGCTGGTCTCGAACTCCTGGCCTCAGGTGATCTGCCCACCTCGGCCTCCCAAAGTGCTGGGATTAACAGGCATGAGCCACCACACCTGGCCTAACTTTGTCCTTCAATCCCAGCCAAAGTGTTTTCTTACAGCAAAAGAACTGCTAAAATGGAATTACATCTTGGAGTATATTTAGATCTTGAGAAGAATGAACTCCAGTTTGTAGTGACTTTTATATATCTTCTTTTTATCTCTATTTAAATTTTTTCTACAATAGCATTACTTATGCAATAAAGTAATCAAAAATGCTTTAAAACTGAGTTCAGTGGAGATGCAAACTATTATTATTATTTTATTTTATTTTATTTTTTTGAGACGGAGTCTTGCTGTCCTCTTATACACATCTAGATGTGTATAAGAGACAGTAATAAAGTAATCAAAAATGCTTTAAAACTGAGTTCAGTGGAGATGCAAACTATTATTATTATTTTATTTTATTTTATTTTTTTGAGACGGAGTCTTGCTGTCGCCCAGGCTGGAGTGCAGTGGCGTGATCGCGGCTCATTGACCTCCACCTCCCGGGTTCACGCCATTCTCCTGCCTCAGACTCCCCAGTAGCTGGGACTAGAGGCGCCCGCCACTACACCCAGCTAATTTTTTGCATTTTTAGTGGAAATGGGGTTTCACTGTGTTACCCAGGATGGTCTCGATCTCCTGACCTCATGATCCGCCCGCCTTGGCCTCCCAAAGTGCTGGGATTACAGGACTATTAGGTTTTTTTTAGTTGCTTTTTGTACTAATGAATTGATGTAAAGTTTTAGGGTTTTTCACTATAATCTAAGATGCTTCACTGGACCTTCTAGAACAAATTACACTCTAACGCAGACTCCTAGATTATTAAGGATTTATTTATTTGCATCAGGTACAACTACATTTCTTACAACACGCTATCAATCGGTGACTTTTTCATATGAGGATTTCTTCTTGAATTTCTCCATATTTAAAGCAGTGATTTTAAACTACTTGAATACCTTCCTCAGAAAAACATTGCTCTCTGCTTCACTGAATTAAACAGGGAATTAACTGCCTCTTACTGGGTTGGAAAAGACCTCATTAACCAAATAAAATGCATGGGATTTGTTGGATCCTGTTAGACCAAATGCAAAAGATTTAATGAGACAACAGGAAAATTTGAATTGTGTAGTTATCAAATGACAGTAAGAAAATTTGGGGAGATAGAATAAATGGTATTATGGATATGTTTAAAAAACTGTTATCTTGGCGGGGCACAGTGGCTCATGCCTGTAATCCCAGCACTCTGGGAGGCCGAGGCGGGCAGATCACTGGAGGTCAGGAGTTCGACACTGGCCTGATCAACACGGTGAAACCCCGTCTCTACTAAAAATACAAAATTAGCTGGGCATGGTGGCACACGCCAGTCATCTCAGCCACTTGGGAGGCTGATGCAGGAGAATCGCTTGAACCTGGGAGGCGGAGGTTGCAATGAGCCAAGATCGCCCCATTGCACTCCAGCCTGGGCGACAAAAGCAAATTTCCGTCTCAAAAACAAGCAAACAAAAAACAACTGTTATATTTTACCTATTCGTATTTAAAGTATTTACAGATAAAATGATAAAAATCCAGCAAGAGTGAGGGAGTGTGAAGGGATGTTGCTAAATGTTGAAGCTGGGTAAACAGTATATGAGGATTTATTGTACTATTACTTTTGCCTTTGTTTGAAAATTTCCATAAAAGTTTAAAAATATTAAAAAGTAGAAAAAAGAAAAGGATTTCATTTATTTGGCCTGACTCAAACAGAAGCTGAATTTTCTCAGCAGTCTTCTTTAGGAATCTTTCACAATTACTTGCCAGTTTGTTTTCAATCAGTTTGAAGTTGTTGCTCTCCCCAAGAGACAGGTACGGAGGCATACACAGTCCCTGCCAGGGACCTCTTAAAGTCACTGACTTAGAAATTCAAGGTAATCCCAGACTAATTTAGGGAGATCAGTTACTTATTTATTTATTTTTTTTAGGGTTGCTTTGTGGTAGATAATACACTGTGGAGCAAAGAAAATGCCTTTTTGCTTTATTCACAGGATTAAATACCATAAATTAATTTCT